AGTAATTTTTTTGCTTCTCGAGATTTCTAGAAAGCAAAAGAGTAGAGTTACGGTTACAGCTAACACTAGTCAATTACATTTATTCAATTTCAATACAAATAAAAGACATATCCATTTATTCAACGTTAAATGCACCTGCTCTTATATTTTTTACTTTTTCGGCGTAGCCTTCTCTTAAAATTTATCACGCGCTGCATTGCGCGGAGAAATAAAAACAATTTTCATCATAATTCTACTGAAATCTTATATATATGCGGCTTAAGTGTTTGTCGCCATAGTTTATTGGTTACGTGCGTAACTGTAAATTGTTTTATTCCACTTGCAGTGCAGCGCGTGACGAATATTATGAGAAAGCTAAACCGGAAAAATTAAAAATACAAGAGGACGTGCATTTAACATTTATTAAATAAATTTTGCATCTGTTTCTCGCCGATAGTTTATTGGTTGCTTGAGTAACTGTAAATTGTTTTATTCCCAGTGCAGTGCAGCGCGTGACGAATATTAGGAGAAAGCTAAGCCGGAAAAATGAAAAATACAAGAGCAGGTGCATTTAACATTAAATAAATAAATTTAACATCTATATATAATAGAATTGAGAATACTATTATTCGGAATATGCAACCGGCAAAAACCATCAACGATGAAAAAACAAATAAAATGAAATAAATATCTTTATTATATGCTGCTTAAGTGTCTGTATGTTGCCGATAGTTTATTGATTGCTTGCGTAACTGCACTAGCCAATGGGGTGAAGTTGCCACGGCACAGGGTTGCCGTTGGCATTTTTTTACCTGAGCCTGCATTTGGACACGGTCAACTTTATGTTGCCTGTTCAGAGTTCGTGAGAGGACGGAACGTAAAATTAAAAATAATTGATGGTCCTCTGCAAGGCGAGCTTAAAAATGATGGAAAGATCTGCACAATAAATGTTGTGTACAAAGAGATCTACATGTGACATGTGAACATTTTATTATTTAAATCACCTTTATTTATTGAGCTAGCGCAGTAGCTCTTAAGAAGTGTACGAAGTGTACCGCCAAGTGGTTTCCTTCATTGCACTCTACTTTAAGCAATTAAGCAAATAGAAGGAGGAAACCCGTGGGACAGTAAGTAAAGGGGCGTCCTCGCCGTCTGCAGTGGGGGTAATTCAGTTTGAATTAGCAGACACCTTTGGACAAATCATTTTAATTACAATTTATAATATCTAGAACAGCGGTCATTTCGTATGACCGCCGGACTTTCTAGTAAATGAATAAGCAGCAACAACAATCATTTTATTTTAAATTATAGAAAAGTAATATTGTAACAAATGATATCGTCGGCAACGTTTTCTACCGACAATATAGAGAAAATACTCAGTTCAACGCACGTGAGCTGCAGAAGGGAGGTGTTATTGTTTTGAACAAACGCTGTAAACTTTAAAACTGTTTTTATGTAATTTCATTTTCTGTTTTATCGTTTTCTGCATGTTAATATTAGGTGTTAATAAAATGTTATTTAAAATTAACTCCTAATTAATTGATTTTGATTTTTAAGCATTAATACAAAGAAATTGGCGCCCAACGTGAGGCAGCAGTATAGAGTTGCAGAACGCGTCGAATTTACTTTTGTTTCAGGATACTTCATTCAGATGTTGTGATAACCATTTTGTTGTCTTTTATGAAAGGAATGGATCTTCTTACCCCAGAAATTGCATTGCTAACATCTACCCCGATGTGTATGATTATGATAAGTAATCTTGACTTAAAACTATTGAATAATATTTGATTATTTGTAATATTAGAATTTTAATTGATACTAAGTTTTGAATTAACTTTGAATTTAATTGATACTAATGTGTGAACTGTAAGTATTGTAAACCAGTAGTGGTGCTACTTTGGTAGACAATTGCACGGATTTTGGCGACTTTTTGGCGATTTGCCTTTTGGCGAGTAATACAACTTATGGTAAACCCATTGCTGGATAAGTTATTTATGGTAACCGATACTTTGTTGTCATTTTATTAAAAAAATAATGCGTTTTATTGTGCATAACTTCCGTGCTTTAAATATTATTTATGGCTTCTAAATATTAAAAATCAATTTAATTTTACATTTTTATTTGAAATAAAAATTTTGTTGTTTATAATATTTTATATAATTTTATGTTGTGGATGATGTAATCAATGACGTCACCTTACTTAAAAAGTAATTGGTTTTATTAATATCTATAAATTTAATCTAATGTTTTAAACATTATTTATGGCTATTAAATAAAATAAAATTTAATTTTGCATTTGTTTTAAAAATGATTTTATTATGAATGATTATTTAAATAATTTTAATTCTATGCGTGATGTAATCAGCTCCCTGATTGGTTACTGAATATTTGTGCATTACCGCGCCATTTTAAAATTTTATTATTCATCTCTTCGAATTCCTCGGATTTCAAATGGAATGGATATCTCCGTTTCGAAGACGAATGTTGTTATTGGTAATTACCAAGAATTATTGGTATTGGAATGAAAAAATTGCCCTTTGAGACTTTATTTTGGCCAACCTGTCTTCCTAATCAAAGATTTATTTATAAATTGTTAATAGCGTCAGAGAGGAATTTTGGAGGAAACCTCGCTAATTGCTTCTTCAATGAAGTGCGAGATATTTGGGATAACAGATGAAGATGGTTAAAAAAGATACCGATTCAATTATGATTTCGATTTTTTTTGTGGTACTTATCAATAAACAAGAGGTTAAATACTCAAAAAATGTAAGCACATATTTTCTTTTATTTTATAATTGTATACTTCAATTTTTTAAAAAAATTAATGCACTATTTTCAAAAATTGCTGAGATAATTATTGTCACGTATGTTTTAATGTTAATTATATTTTATAACGTATTTTAAAGTATTTGAATTTAATATATTCTAATTCTTTTAAATGTTGGTAGGATGGTTTTTTTTAATTCGATATTCAATTTCTGTAATATTTTAATCTAATTAAACGTTGGCACAATGTTTTTATAGCGGTGTGTTTATTCTCTTTTTTGCTAATGAAAGTAATAATAGCCTTACTTTAGTACTTTATACTCATAGTAAATGTACTTATTTACACTTGCCTGCCATCTTAAAAAAAGACATTTTCAACAAAAAATTAATCCATTACTTTTAACGATATTTATTTATTTATTTATTTATTTGTAAGTTTCGAATACTTTACTATGCGTAAAAACAGCGTTTTTCTAGATGGCTGACGATTGTAAAAATCGCACCAACAATTGCGCCAACGTAAATCGCCAAAAATCCGTGCAACCGTCTACCAAAGTAGCACCCCAGTAGTGTTTATTTCCAGTTATTACAAAGTTGATTTCTTTTGTATGACCCTAAGTGCTTGAAATTATCAATGATATCTAAGAACTGAAAGATGAATTTAAATACATTTAAAATTCAAACAAGTATAAAATTAGAATATTAAGCTTTGACAGTCATAGTGTGAACTTTAACTGAGACTTTACGACTGCGTTTAAATTTCGCAAAAGACAGTGTCCTTTTTAGGTATGGGGGAGAAAACAAGATTTAAAACTTCTTGCCCTTGAACTAGATTTAGTCGAGGCAGACAGTCTAAAAGTGATACAGTTAAAGGAACTCATAATGAAATACAATAATTATGATGAAGAATTAATGAAACATGTGTTAACTAATATAACAGAACAAAAACTTGAGAAAGAGTAACAACCTGAATCAGAACGTATTGCTCAATAAAAAGCTGCTAAGAAAGAGAAATTAGCAAAGAACAAAAAGAAGAGCGAGCTTGTGAATTGGAACGCTTTAGATTTCAACTTGAAGTTCAGAAGACACCCCTCTCCACTATAGCAGGTCCTATTGTTGAGATCCTAATGATAATGACATGGCCTTGTTCCTAAATCTTTTCGAAAGACAATTGAAGTTTTTAAAGGTTCCAGAAGAAACTTTGGTTCCGTATTTGGTGGGGTCGTTACCAACAGAAATTGGAAAATTGATTGCTCATGAGCCAGAAGAGGAATTAAGAATTATCAGAAGATGAAGGAAATGCTTCTAAAGAGGTATAAACTCACCGCTGATAAATGCCGACAACTGTTCGCTCTACATCGGAAGAAACCAGAAAGCACTTGGCGTGATTTCTACTTTGAACCGACCAGTTATTTTGAAAATTGGCTTAGAGAATTAAATGTTACAAAATTTGAGGATTTCGAGCGGCTCATTATAGCTGACCAAATGAATAAGAGATCACTTTTTGGACATTTGGCCGAACTTAAACTTGCCTGCAGAATTATCAGAAAAGTTGCACACTTACGATTGTTTACATAATAATCAAAGCAAAGTTGCAATCTCACCAACTCGAAAGAAAATTTCAAATTCTGAAGGCGGTATCCCAAAATCCATACCAGTGAAGAAGACATATACCAATGTAGCAGATAAAGCAACCCTCTCTTTCTATGGTTGTAGCAAAGTTGGATTTACTAAATAGCTCTAGAGCTATTTAAGTATTTACTATATTTCAAACTCTGTACTCGGCAATAAAAGAATGAGCGATTTAAAAGCAGAAAATACTTTTCTTAAAAACTTTATTTTATTTTTTAATATATGCAATAGATGTAGTTTTAAAACATATAATTTTCAAAATAATTGATAATTTTATGAACATTTCCAGCATTATTGTAATTAAAAAGAGGTTTCTAGCACCATACATTATGCACTTAGGAACAGAGTTGTTTTGACGTTCTTCAGACGAGTATTTCCGAAATTTAGTAACGTACCTAACTGAGAGAATTTTAAATGGGTTCAATGGATCGTTCATCCAACTGATCACTTTGGGAACATTTGCAGCATTATTGTTATTAGCAATAAACAATCTCTATAATCCTTATATTACAAACATTCGTAAAGATTTGATTCTTTATGTAATAAAACAGAGAATTATTTCTCACATAAATGAATTTTATTGCATTGAAAAAAAGTACTTAAGAATTATTATTCTTTTTCAGAGAATCGAGCGCCCATTTCTCGAAGCGGTTCAAGATACTTTAGGGGATCGGTATACTGACAATATGGAAAACATTTACAAAATCACCATTCGTTATATCCTCGACACTGTTGTCAAAGGCTTTGATTTAGGAGCTCTTCAGACCAAAACAAGTGGAGTACAACCACCGAAAGCTTCTCCTGAACCATCACCGTCGCCACAGGAACACAAAGAACAAGAGGAAAAATGTGTTCATTCTCAGTGTCCTGCAGTTCAGACTTTGACCAATGGACAGTCTTAAAAGTTTCGCACGTTCATGTTTGCACAGTACTTCAGTAGACATTTTCTGAGAATCGCAAATATTCGTGTGCAGCTGCCGTTTTCTATATGTGCCAAGTATTTTTTAAGAATTATAATAAATTCTACATTGAAGCAAAATATTTTGATAATATTACATTAAATTTACTGAATTTTACAATATTTCAGATAACCAGTAGAAAGGACATTGCATGTGCATTTTTGTAGTCATCATAAATTAAAAGCTTCGCCTCTATTAAAATTAAACAAATTTCTTGCATTAGTATTTTTATCTTATTTGCTAATTCTATTCATTACACAAATTATTCAAAATCCTATTAGTATTTTCAATGTGATTTGAAGACAGTTAAACAATAGTTTATAACCCTACTATAACCGCGAATTTTAAAATAGGTGAAAAATATAATCTTCTATGTGCACGTATAATATTACAATTTTACTAGATTTTTTTATAGTAATACTTAACTGTAAATCCGGTTAACGTGTTACTGCAGGGAGATGATAAGCGTAAAACGCCTTGTATATCTCAATTATAGGCAATAGAGTAAAATGTTAAAAAACTAGTCGTGTTAATGAATATTTTTGTGTGTACAAAACCAGATTTCAAATTTAATAGTGTATATAAGTGAAATATGATAAAAGCACTTACATTTTATATCTGAAATGTAAACAATACAATGTAATTCATAATTCACACCGGGTTTTCTAAAATGTATGATATAATAACCATAACAAATGAAGCAAAAAAGTTGTATATCAATATGTATCAAGAATCTACCCAAGTTTTACGTGCACTCCTTCTGATGAGGCGAACTTCCACCCAGTCAAATGTTAGCCAGTCAGTCTATTTTTATCGCACAGTTACCTACTTTCCTTGAAATTGTAGGACAAAGCGATATGTGCACCCTTTTTGATGAGATAGAATTCGGCTCAGTACTCTGTTTGCTTTTCATCGTACAAGTAGCCACTTTGCTTGAACTTCTAGTTCAAGTCAATATATGCACCCATTCTAATGAAGGAGAACAGAACCGAAAGCCAGCGGAGTAGGTCCTCGCTCTGGCGTTAAACACACGAAAATGATTACCATTCCGGCGGATGTATTTTATATCTTGTACAGCTGCATTAGAACATTTAAAGGGCTTTTCATAAACATGAAGACGGTATATATATATATATATATATATATATATATATATTTGTTGCCTTCTACGAAGCAATAAAATTTATGTACAGCGCATTGTTTCTTCGCAACTTCAAAGTTATGCACAGAGCATTGTTTCTGCGCAATTTCAGTTAGTTAAGATTCGAACTCCTAGCGTAGCATACATGCTTTTTGATCCCATATGGCTGGGAATTTATCATTTTCGATTTTGATTTTAGTTATATTACAGTCCACAAAATAAAATTGTTAGTTGTTATTGTAAAGTTGTCTTTGGTATACAGTCTAACCAGCCACCTCAGAACATTGGTCACGATCGGCCGCAGTTCATTAGAATAAAACAAAATGGCTAATGAAGACATAACTACGTTGAACAGAAAACGTGGCGGTATTAAAGCGCAAATAACCAAATTAAAGTCGTCTGTCAGTGGAAAAAATGATTTTGGTTTCGAACAAATCCCGTATATTGCAAGAAAAAGTGCACAAGTTAAGTAAACAATTTGATGAACTTCGCTTGGATTATTACAAAGTGTGCAAAGATGAAGAAATATCAGACATTGAAGCTACTTTTGAAGAAATCGAGATGAATATTACCAATGTTGAGGTAAACCTGAAATGTCTTTATACTTCATTATGCAGTAAGAATGCAAATAATAGTATCCTAAAACAAGAAGTAATTCATTGAATTATAAATTGCCTGAAATAACATTACCTAAATTTTCTGGTAATTTCGAAGACTGGAATTTATTTAAAAAAACAATTTGTAGCTTTAATTTCATCTAATTGACAATTAGTAACAAATTCTCAAAAAATGTTTTATTTACAATCTTGTTTAATTGGTAATGCAAAGCAGAAACAAACAATAGATGATACATTTTCTATGTCTATGTCTATGTCTTATCACTTAGTAAGAGGCAATCGACCATTAACGGCCTTTACCAATATATGATACTTAACTTTTAAATGCTTGAAGAATCGAGTAAGTTGTATCCAATAATATGGAAATACTTGTACACATGCTGTACTAGAACTCAGAGATTACTAGCGACGGAGGCTCCTGTGCCACCGTCCGTAGAATAAGTAAACTTTGGACAAATGAGGTGCTCGTGTGGCGCCATCTATTAGTAGGGATCAAAAGTTGACTGGAGCTCTGGTTGCGCCGTCTCTTTCAGGATGTATTGTAAGGCATTTTAAAAATGTCATAAAAATTATTCTTCTGATAAGCAATAATTGGTAAGTAAAATGATGAAAAACACAATTTGCAGTACATTGAAACGTTTCACAAGAGTAAAAGCTATTTGCACACAAAGTCTACTTGCTTTGGCAGGAACAATGTCCATAGCGCTTTGTAATTTGATAATCTATAAGTAAAGAAAATGAAGTAAAATCTTGGCTAAATAAGAAGAAAACGAAAATATATACATTACCACCGACTATTATGGTGAATAGTGCGGGGCCTCTTGTGGCGTTGTTCAATTGTGAAATCATAATTTCCTAGTTTTTTGATGATATTCTTAGGATGACTGTCACATGTCATAAAAAAGTTATGAGAAGCTTTTAGAATTTCAGAATCCGTGGGTTTAATTTTTAAGTCATTGTGAAGAGTTCGTACGAACCAAGGCGCTTTTGTAATTATTCGGATGGCCTTGTTTTGAATTCTTTGTAATTTTTCGCAATGAGTTCTTGCAGTTGCAACCCACGCTGGGGAAGCATACAGTAAAATCGGGCGAATAGCTTGTAGATAAATAACTCTTTTTGTAGCGAGACTAAGTTTAGAATTTCTCCCTATGAGTGCATAGATACTGCCTATTGCTTGGTTGGCTTTTTTACAGATATTTTCGATATGGTTTTTGATCGAGATAAACGCCTAAATATTTAGCACATTTTTCATTTGGGATGGAGATATTATGAATTGTGATATTGTTGAGATATCTTCTGGAAGGGTTCTTTTGGAAATAAATTGTAGTGGATTTGCTTTCATTTGATTCATAATTTCTCAAACGTTAACGTTTCATTCATAATTTCCAAACGTTAAACCATGGGAAGATATAGTCAATGGCATTTTGCAGGTTTTGGATGGCTCTTTGCTGATTGATGGATTTGCTCAGAATTGCAGTATCGTCTGCATAGCAGGCGATAATGGCATCTTTGTGGCTGGGAAGATCATTTATGTAGATGTTAAAAAGAAAAGGTGAAAAATTCGAGCCCTGAGGGACACCTGCTTTCATTACACTGATATTAGATAGCTCGTTCTTAATACGAACTTTGAAAAGTTCTGTTTTCCAAAAAACTTGAAATTAGTAGGATTAATCCAGGTGGAAATTTGTTTCCGATAAGTTTCATAAGGAGGCCTGGGTGCCAAACCTTATCAAACGCTTTTTCAATATCAATGAAGATGCCAGCAACAGTTTCTTTTTTATTACAGGCTTCGCCGATGATTTCAGTAATTCTTGTAACTTGTTGGATGATGCTAAATCCATGTCTAAATCCAAATTGATTTTCCTTAATAATATTATTGTCTTCAGCGAATTTAGTGAGCCTATTGATGACTAATCTTTCAAACAGCTTGCCAACAGCTGAAAGTAAACTGATGGGTCTGTAATCTGAAGTTGAATATCCATTTTTCCCAGGTTTCTTCAAGACAATGATTATCGCATGCTTCCATTGTTTAGGAAAAAATCCTATACGCAGGCAAGCATTAAAGATGTAATATAGTTGCAGGATGGCTTTTCTTGGTAAATTTTGCAGGGTTTTATTAGTAATTTGGTCATAACCGGGAGCTTTTCTTGGTTTTAATTTTCGAATTAATTCTGTAATCTCTCTGGGTGTGGTAGGTGGGTTGGTCTGATTCTTGAAACTTTCTAACTGCTGAGTCACGTGATCAATGACTGCCGAATCATTAGCGTTAACAAAATGATTGACAGTGAATTGATTTTCATATGATTTGGCAAAAGCGTTTGCAATATCTTTTGGATTAATTAGAACTTTATTATTGTAATTAATAGGTTTTATTTCATCTTTATTTCTTCTAATAGCTTTAGCAATTTTCCACACGGAGTAATTGATATGTGATAGACTGTTAACGAAGTTGTTCCAGCTGTCGTCTTTATATTCTTTGATGAGTTTTTTTAACTGTTCTATTAGCTTGATTGAAATGTATAAATAAAGGGGTCTAAAGTTCTATGATAAATTTTTCGAAGCCTGTTCTTTTCTTTAATCTTCTTAAGGATGTACGCAGGGAGAGTAAATTTTCTGGATGAATGGCCGATTTAGATTTATTGAGTGCTTCGTGCATGCTATGTGTGAATTTGTCAATTGTATCTTTGATATTTTGGGGGGAGTTTAGATTTCGATTAATAGCTGTGTGTTCTCTTGCATAATATAACTGAAGTCTTCCCAGTTGATCTTGCTATTTACAGGTGGTAGTCCGTAGCTTAACCCGTAAAGGGTAAAACGTACAGAAAAGTGATCAGAGGATAAAACATTATCGGTGAAAAGATACGGTTGCTGGTTAATATTGGCGGTAATAAGAATATCCAGTGTGTCTTTGCAGCCATAAGCTGAAGAGATAAAAGTAGGATCATCAGGTGCATGAATGTTCATATCCTTAAATTGGCAGTAATTATATAGAGTAATGCCGTCCGGGTTATTAGTTCTGGAGTTCCAGATGGTATTTTTGCAGTTGAAGTCTCCAGCTATTAGTGTGGGTAATCCTAAGTTAACTATTGCATCCAGGTCTTGGGTATTGAGATGTGATTGCGGAGGTTTATAAACAGAAACTATTAAATAATTGCAGTTGCTGCAGGGTAAGATACAAGCACAAGCCTCTATGCTATTAAAAGCAGGGAGAGGGTATATGCGTAACTTTTTAGAGAGCTTTTTATGGCAATTGCGGTTCCACCGCCTCTGTTGTGAAGTCTGTCAGCTCTATAAATATCGTAATTAGGAGGAATTTTTAGTTTATGTGTACAGCGTAAGATGCGTTTTTCATTAAGCATAACTACGTCTAAATTATTATTAGAAATATAATCTCTGAGTTCTAGTAGTTGGTGGTAAATTCCGTTGCAATTGTAGAACATAAATTTTGCGTAAGAAATCTGTTT